GTTTCCGCGTCAAGTCTTCTTCAATGAGCCCACTTCAGGGAAAAGACAACACTAACAGAGTTGCCCTATTCGAAGCGTTAGTAAGGACTAACTAAAAACAACACTGAAAGCCACTGGAACTGAGCCTCCTAAATCGTTTGAAACACATGCACATCGCACAAAAGACCGTACCAACGGGGCAATGTCCCATAAACATTGAAACAGTAGTGAAGACGTGTTAATTAACTATTTTGTCAGGCCATAAATGTTAGAAAAGTGAAAGTGAAAGTGAAGGTTGCGTAGGTGAATTACTAATTAGTTATTTCCGCACACATTTTAAACTTCTTCGTTCCACAACATTGGTAAAACATAGATAGGACACAAACGACAAATCTCAAATAACAACAACAATAAGAATATTTTATATAACATAAAATACACAATAAATATGTGTTGGTTGAATTTTAGTGAATGAGAGATTTTTATCATGTTCAGTGTCACGTGAGCTTAAGTTTACTGAATTGAATGTTTTGTCTTATATAATATGTGAAATTTCGATATAATTTGTTATTAGATAAACTTGTTTAAATTGAATTTTAAACAGTTTGTAAAACAGTTTCTGAATTGAAATTCGTAATGTAAGAGTTCAGTAACAAAAGTTGTCTGCCCTTGACTATATGCTTGTTTAGTAACCCTCATTTCAATTTTCATACGTTGTCTTGAGTTTCATTGGTTGTTAAATAAAAATAAGCTTCGAGAAATTTCCATAACAAAACAGTCAAAATTTGTGCAAAAATAGGCTCAACTGACATTAAAAAATCTTTCTCAAATTCATCCCTAATTTGAATGCTTCAAGAAATCCTATTGGCTAAATATACAACATTCGCCCACGCATTTCTCAGAAAAATTCGCAATAAGCTACCAAGCCACTGGAGCCGATTTTGTTGTTAAAAAAAAAACTATAAATAGAAACAGCAAACGAATTTTCGTCGCATTTTGAGACTCACGCACGCCAAGATACACACGGGAATTATGTGTCAAAATTTCCGCCAAAGAAACAAACTTTCTTTATAAGAGATTAGAAAAATTCATACAACAAACTTTTTCACTTAATATCTTTCATAGAAAAATCTTTTGTCTAAGTTAAATTCAACCTTTTAACCAAAGGCAGACAACTTTTTAGACATTGAACATTTCTGAAACAGCAAAGAACTTTTTCTCTATACTTTTGCACACATCATTACAAAGAAATTGTAAATTGTGTATATAAAATTTAATCTGTTGTTTCAAACATGTATTTTTCGTCGTGATTGAATATCGTTACCATTTGGCCATTTCTTATAATTTATGTTAGTGCATATTGCATATTTTATTTGCAGTACAATCTTAAATATTTACGCATCCTTCTTAGATCCACTACACTTGTGTGTGTCGAAGATTGCATAAAAATATCTTACAAGAATTCTGGAAGGTATTTCGTTCTTCAGTTGAGAATTAAACTTAATGAACAATGATTTCCGGTGTAAGAATGTTCTGTAGATTCAGTTGAAAATCAATACTGTGATTGAGAAGTTTTCAGTAAGTGATAAATGAATCCAGACGAATTTGGTGAGTGAGTGATTGAGATGAATATTTTAACTTGAATTACAATGAAGTTGTTTTCGTGTTGAAGAAATTGAAGTTTGCATTTCAATGATACAAGCGTCGTGGACTAGTTTGGCAATTGCTAGTCGTTCGAAAATGCTCACTGACTAGGTTTGCTCGAGCAATGAATATATTAGTTTTCTGGTCACATGGTAGGCTCACGAACACGTTTAGAAATTTTGGCGGTCAACTCACTTTAAACACTACTGCATGAGCATTGTTGCCATTTTTCATAAATATTAACCAATCGGCAATAGCGTTTACAAAAAATACCAATTTGGATCCACTTCGTGTTAGGCTGTACAATATTTGTTATCAGCAAGAGTAAATACACAGTAAATCTACTCAAATATTTATTATCCAATAAAATTCACTAAATCAGAATAGAATGATAATTAGATATTGGAAATTGGTGTGTAGAGGCTAAATCATATAGAACCAAAAGCTTCGAAGCCACCAGACGAGAAAAGGAAGACGTCAAACGACAAGAGAGAAAGGCTCAACAAAATCGACCTCGTCCTCCACCAACATTACCATGCACTCAATGCCATTGGCTTTTCCATACAAGAATTGGTTTACTTAGTCATCAACGCCATCATCATAAAAGAAGCGATCAGAAAAGATGAAATTAAATTCTTGGTTACGAGATAAAGCCACCGCCACCGCCGACATTCTAATTCGTAATAAATTCTTTTCTTTTCTTTCAAGATGTCGCAAATAGTGAGTTGTCTTCCCTTTTCATTTTCTTTTTTAAAGATTTTAAAAAGAATAATCAAATCCAACTAAAGAAAAAGAATCAAGTTTCATGGCTCATACCTAAGCTTCTTCTTTCCTGTGTAACATCTATTCAGGTCATGAGTGATCACGTCTCTCGACAACTTCTGGTACTTTGTAACTCAAAGCGACGTTAATCTACTTTCCACATGCCCTGAGCTGATATCCATTTATACAAGGTCACCAAATAGGTTATCCAGCTTTCCTCTCTCTTTTTAATTTCAATATGTACAGTGAGTATTAAATTTTACAAGGCCTCTCTCCTCATTATGTGTTCCAAATCCTGATTCTGAGTACAAGTGTACGTTTTGCTTTCATTTCCCTTAAAACTTCCTTGTTACTCTTCCACTTGATTAGAAATTTTGTTACAATTTTCCCCCTTTTTCGTTAGTTTTGAGCATATCCTAAAAAATCATGAGATAAACATAACCATTCAATCAGAAAATATTACATACATCCAAAATTATGTACATGTAAGAAAACAAATAGATCATCTCTATTTTTAAAAAGTTACCGAAAATCATAGAATTATCTGATTTCAGTGAAATTTTCAGCAAGAAAAAGAAGGAATTTTATATTGAATGATTTTTTTATTTTGTTCAAGTATTTCTTTTCAGGTCAGTTATACCCCTCTTTACTTAACTTATTCTTTCTTTTCTTTTTATGTACCGTGTCCTTTCAAGACGTAGGCGATCATGAATTCTCCACACACACCCCCTATCCCTTGTAGCTCTCAATACGTTTCGTGCCTCTGTCAACTCCTCCAGATCACGTTCTGCCATCTACCAGGTATGTCATGCGTTGCTTTCTCTTGTCTTTTTCCCTCTATTCAACATGTGAGTATCAGATTCTCCAAACCCTCCTTTCTCATTACGTGTTTCAAAAATTTCATCTGCCTCTTCCTTATGTTAAGTATAAGCTTCCTTCTTGTTTGCATCCTCTCCAAGACTTCATCGTTGCTCACACACTCGCTCCATGATATCCTTAGAATCTTTCTATAGAACCACATCTCCGCTGCCTCGAGTCCATTCTTTATCTTTGAGGAGACCGTCCAACATTCGCTGCTGTATAGAAGGACAGATGTCACATAGCAGCTCAGTATTGTTTTCTTTTGTCACCAAAGAAATCCCCCCTGTCTCGCAGTACTCTGCCCAGCTTTTGGAATGCATCCTTGGCCGTCCCAATCCGTCTTCGGATCTCAGCGTCGCACTTACCGTCCTCCGTCAAAACACTTCCCAGATATTTAAACTTCCCCGCATACTTGATTTTAGTGTCCCCGGTCCGAAAATCGCATTTCGAGCTCGTCCTCATTTTTATAGAGCTAAATCTCTGAAGGCGTTTAAACTGTTATATCCTTAAAAAATATTTAATATCGATTATGAACATATAAAATATATGGTCTGAAATCTTAAGCAGAGAATTCAAAGAAAACACAAAAAATATTTTTGTGATACTTAAATTTTTTAATCCCGTTTTCAAAAGAACATATTTTTAAATAATTTTATTTATTTCTTTTCATTTTACTACTGTTTGATATTTTTATTTTGAGGAAGATCAAAAAATGAAAATCAAAAATCAAATTCTGAATTATGCTCTGTGACATAAAAAATGTCCCTTTTCAGAACCAACAAAAATTATTGAAAGTTCGCTAATGATATTTTTGTCTGCGTAATAAAGTTTTTGTCATTATTATAATGTTAGAAATGCAGTAAATATAAAGAAATAACTTGGATACCATAATATTTGTTAAGTGGTTTTAATTGACCTGAAAAAGATTTCACATGTCGAAAGTCTGTATGATTTTAAAGTTACCTATAAATGTATCATTATTTTTCTTCATTACTGAAAAAAGTTGCAAAATTACTTTAATTTCAGCCTTACTATTTACTAAGTTTAGCTTTGTTTTGTTATAAAGCCACAAGTACAAGGTACCAAGTGACGTTTGAAGTAGTAATTAACCACATTTCCCTTGCTAACTATTACGCTGAAATGTTTTACTCTAACTTCTGAACTTCAAAGTTACCTTTTAGTTTTCTCAAGTCTGGTTTTATTATTAAATGTGTGGTGAAGTGCCAGAGAGACTTAGTATTATTTATCGGAATTTAGAGAATAAAACAAATTGAATCAAGAGTATAAACTATAAAATTTTTATTTCTATTTAAAGAAAGAATTAAAAAAAAATGTCAATTTAAATGTAAGACCGTCTAGGTGTTGGTTTTTTTTTTGTTTTTTTTTGTTTATTTACACGTCTTTTGAGAAAGGTGTATTTTTTGTAAGACGAGCGGTGTGTGTAAAAAGGAAAAAGCTGCGCGATTTTTAAGACCATTTTGGATCAAGATTTGCCGCCGAAATTGTTTGCCAAACTCTGATTTATGGCCCTTTCGGATCGGGAATAGCCCTCAAAGGTGAAATTTTTAGAAGGGCCTTTTTTCATATATTGGCCAATGAAAATTGAGTTTTCGAGACCCGTAGAAATTCCGGATGGCCCAAAGTGGAGCCGACTTTTTCAAATAAAAGAAAGGACATTAAGAAACGATCAGTAGAAACAAAAAAATAACGAAAGGGAACCGAGGCAGAGATCTGAGACGACACGTAGTTCGCAGACTACTTAATACCCTCTCTCTACATTGACCGGCAAGTGGGCCATAAATCAGCCTTTCTCCGACTACCAAAACCAATCCGGCCTGCTGTCAACGAAAATTCTTTCAAAGAAAGGAGGTGGGTGCTTTGTGCGTTCTGCTAAGTGTTGGTCTCTCTAAAACTTTATCCCTTTTTTTTGTATTTTTTGTAAAGGCTCTAAAACTTTGTCCCTTTTTTGTATTTTTGTAAAGGGTCTAAAAACTTTTTTTGGTGTTTTTGTATTTTTTAAAAAGGGTCTAAATTTTCAAAAACCGGAGTTGGACTAAACAATTTATTTCATAGCTTGTTTCTGTGGGTATTTCTTTTTTTTAGAAACCCCAGGAAAATATTGTTATCCTGCCGTGTTAGGCGCACAGAAGGAAATTTTTGTGCAACCTTTCTTGTTCTTGTGCGTACCTTTGTGCTTATTGTAAAATAATTGTACAATAAATGTTTTTTCCTGTTTTTAAAAAATTACGCAGTAATTTGTCTTGTATCTTTAACTCGCGCTTACTAACGGCAGCTATCGTTTATTCTGCCAACTAAATTTTGTGTCTGGCACAAGGAGTTGGTAGGAGAGTGAGAAAAAAGAAAGAAAGAAACAAAAATTTTTATAAAACAAATAATATATATATATATTTGAGTTAGATTGGAGTGAGTGCTTTTACTTTGGGGTAGCAAAAATGTGTCTTTTAGTCTGTTTTGGCTTGGTAGTTGGTAGTTTAGAAATCAGATCTTGGTAACAGTTGTTATCTTAGAAATAGGTGTGACGTCAATCTTTTATCGGCTCAAAGAAGGGCGGAAATATCCTACGCAGATGACCGCTTAACTTCTTCACGCAACACATATGACTAGTTTCTCTGGCGGTTCCTTCTCATGTTCTACCACTTGACTGTCTGTTTATATCTTTTTTTGACAAGGCACCAAGACTACTGGCTCGAAGCTTGGTTTTGGCTAACATCAAAAATCTCTTTGTATTAATTTTTTGATTGGCCAAAATTATTTTATTTTCCGTCGTCCCTTTGTTTTTCATATATATATATATATATAGCGGAAGTTATACGTGGAGGCTCTCTTGTTTTAGTAGATTTCTAGTCATAAATGGTTAGACTCTGGTCCAGAAAATTTCCACCATTTTTCGGCCGGGTTCAGTCTTTTCTTCTTCCTCATTTTTTTTTTCATGTGAGGGTTGCCTTCTCATTAGTTGAGAGAGAAGTATATATGGAGAAGTTTAGTGAGAGAGAGGGAGAGAGAGAAAGAAATAAGGTTTTAAAGAAAAGCAAATGCCTTATTTTAATTTTAATTCTTTTTTTGTTGTTTATATATTTTATTTTCATATTTTTTTTTTATCAGGACTCACTACAAAAGCTCACAAAACCACCCTACGGAAGCAAAATAATCATTTCTAACTTTCCTCTTCCTTTTCTTGTCTTTAGTGGGACAAAACAATCTCAATATCCTTATATACTGCATATAGTTACAAGAATAACCAACAAACAATACATTGCCAATGAAACAGAAAGGAAAAGGAGACAAGATATTGTAGGGCTGTAGTTATGATAAAGTTATGTGACAGCCAGTGAGTGATGTCAGTTTATAGAACGCCAAAAGTAGTTGGTGTTTATTTTGCTCTGAAACAGGTCAGTTTCTATTTAGCACCAAGAGAAACAAGGCATACCCACCCATGCCAGTTGCTATGTAACTTGCGGAAAAGACGGATGTCACAAGCCCACAGCGGTAGGGTGAACAAAAGAATCTACATGGTCTTACCAGAAACATAAAAGAAACCACCAACCTGCCCTTTTTCCCATTGGGAAATATTACAAGTAAGACCCTCTACTTTTTCACCCCTTTCACCCCTTTCACACTGCTTGTTGTATGCATATATGATTTCTTTGTGTAGGACAAATTTCTGATAAGTATGTATATATCAGTATAAAATCTTATCCTATTTGAGAGCCATGCATGTTGTTCATTCCTATTCTATCCTGTCCGTGTGTTAAGGTGTTACTATATCGCAGATAATGCCTATGATGGGCAAATGCAAACTGGGAATATTCTTTCTTGCCTAGTACCCCCATTGATATGTTAAATTAAAATTGTATTGTCACCATTTACAGTGAAGCAAGAGTAGAATGTAGGTGAAGGAGATGACACTTGTGGATGAAGAGTTCAGGATCTCAGAAGATGGGTGTGCATATTTGAATTGGTGTATTGGCCATGTGTTGAGGCTAGTGGTGAAGGGAGGTTGTTGCCAGTTGGCCAAGAAACTGCTTTGATGGCCACTAAGTCGGCCCTTTCAAACTGTGTGGTCAGTTTAACCAGATTTTAGGTGGAAAAATGAAATACGAGTGTCGTATCTACAAATAAAACACAAAATAAAAGCAACGCGAGGAAATGATCTTCACAGAAAATGAAGAAAACCCAGTTAAATATCACAATAACATTTATACAGTAGATACATGTTGAAGATGAATGTTCTTTGTTGTGACCATGAAGAGACCAATAGTTCGATGTGATTTGTTGTAAGTGAGTGTACAAAGTTTCGAAGTTATTTTGTGGCAAGTGAGTCTGCAAAATTCGAAGTAATATGTATACCAATATATGTGTGTGATGGTCATGCTAATGAGAAATGTGTGTGGCTGATTTCTTGCGATAGCAGTAATTTTAAAACACAGTGAACAAGGAGAGTTGAGACAAGACTTACTTCGCCATGGCTTTGTATGTAGGAAAATCATCGCTGATAGACACGTTGTCATGGTAATGTGTGTCGAGGCTGGAATGATTCACTGACTGTTCCGTTTCGCAGATCTATCCACTGACTATCCTGTTCAAGATCTCTCCACAGACTTTCCGTTTCAAATCTAGTCGCTGTTTTTGTGGTGAGTCGGTGACCAGCTCACGAATTCTATCTGAGTTCCGCGCGGTAAATCACTCGAGCCCTGAACTATTTCCAGGCCATTTGGAGTTGAACCGCACGGACATTGTAGGACATATCCTGATTGGATATGACAAGTCATATGATGACTTGTCATATCCAATCAGGTTCCAGAAACCACTTATTTAATTTTGGAGCCGTGTTTTGTAAAGAATTCTAAAGTTTTTTTAGTATCTACTGATTTTTGTAGAATTTATTTGTAGGCGTCTCTTACATTTTTGTGCTTCACTTATTGGCTTATAAATCACAATATTTATCTGTGTGCTCAAGTCGCAAAAAAATGTAACACAAGGTTGAAGTTTAATGTCGGTTTTCAGCAAATCCCTAGAAAAATTGTTCAAGCCCCTTCGGCATCTCCTCCTTTTGGGCAGGCCTCAGGTGCTGGGTAGTGGGTAATGACCCCAGCCCACCTCCTGGAGGAGTGGTACTGCCTGGGAGGATGACCGTTCCTTGGATTTGAGATAATATTAATTGCAATTTATTAGCTGAAATGCCGAAGCACTCAAGGTGGATATATGAATAAGTGTTTTTTCATGCTGTTATTTTAGCAGCCAGCAGCGTTTGTAATTGGTTCTTTATAATGGATATTTAAATTTTTTTTACTTTTGAGCGATTTTGTTTTGTAAGCTGGACGCCATGTTTGGGACCTACGTCCAGAGAGTGACTTTTTTTTTAAAATTTCTAATTGTGCTTTTGTAGCATTCACATCAACAGGTTTTAACGTAGAGTGAATCAGCAATTAGAAGTAGAATATAAAAAGTAATACTACTTTTCTCTTTTAAAAAGCCACGTCCCTTCAGGGTGTAGACATTTACGACTCTCCAGTCTCCACAGATTCCTTTTTTTTTTTATTATCAATAAATTGCTATGAATTCTATGGAGTGATGCCTTTTCCACCACTGGGAATTCAGAGTTTTCCTTCCTCTAGACACTGTTTGCTACCTAAGGGCCGTTAGAGTGCCCAGTCTACGCTGCTATTTTTTTTTAACTAATAATTGACGGAAGAAGAGATGAAATTTGATTTTTTTATCACTTTGTCAAAGAAGCGTGAACGCAACAGACTAGCCCGGAACTTGAACTCGCTCCACCGATTCCACTTTTCATACTTATTCCAGTATCAACACATACCAATATCACATTAAAATTTCTAATATGCACACTTGTCACTCAAAATCACGGCGAGAAAAAGAATATCTCTTTTGTGGACTGGACTTTTATTTTGTCGTAAACTTTCTTACAGTTAACACCGCCTAACTTGATTTGTTCTTCCGGCGAAGGCGGGAATATTTGAATTACTGTTTTGAATTGATCAATTGACGTGTTCGAAAATATCTAAGATGAGTGAATGTAAAAACAGTTCGAAAGAAAACGAAGCGAGCCAGGAAAAGTCAAAGGAAGTTCCTGAGAATACGAATAAAAGCCCAGAGATGGCTGTTAACTGTGAAAATTCCAATGATTGTGCTAATAATGGTGGAAAAAAAAATAATACCGACCAAGTTGTATACAGAAGATTCAAATTCTTGAAACACGCTTTAGACAAAGTTATTGCCAAATGTTCTTCGGCTGGAAAGTAAGCGATTTTTGATAAAATATTTTTGACAGCTTTTCTTCATACTTCATGTTGCGAATCACTTTATTTATGAAAAATATTTTGAAAAGTTACCAAAAAGAAAACATTAACTTCAACGAGACTTGTCAGTTGAGAAAATTGTCATTAAGCATTTATTTGCTTAAATTTAAAACACTGACTTGTTAGTTGCAGTAAGATAAACATGCACTACAATTAGTTTTACTTGAAATATTTATGATTTTGAAAATACATTTATTTAAAGCTCATTACAAAAAGTTTCGACATGACTTCCTTTATTTACTTACTATACATTTTCTGCATTATTTCAAATCTAAGAGTAAAAATACTTGTCGAGAGGCATTAATTTAATTTAGTAGACATTTGTTTAATAATAAAAAAAATAGTTTTATGTTTAAATACTGCACTCACAGCAACTATAAATTCTTATATTTTCTTAGAGAATATTTATTTACATTTGTCCCCAATAATTTTAATTTGATTGTTCACTACTACTGTCTTTCTCCACCTCACAAAAATACTTTTTTATGGAAATAAATAAATAAATTGAACTTTGAAATAAAATTTCTGAAT